GAAACTAAAAAGATAAACATAGAATGTGAGAAGATATGACAGAAGTCTCTTATTCAGAATGTGTAAAGAACGGTAGTCAATAAGGTAAAGACCAACAGAATTACCTTGTCACAAAGGAGGGTATCCAAATAACCTTTCCAACAAACATAGGAAAAAGTGCTCAATGTCATTGTTCAACAGGGAAACGCAAATTAAAACCACAGTGAAATAATGCTGTACACTCAGCAGAATGGTTAAAAATTAAACTGTTGATAATACCAAGTGTTGATGAGGACATGGAACAGCTCCCAGACAGTTCTCAGATGTAGACCTTTCATGCACTGTTAGTTGGACTAGAACCACTTAGTGGGCCTAGAACCACTTCGGCAAAGAGTTCGGCATTATCTGCTGAAATACAGTAGACGCTCTCTCACTCTTAGCTATCGCTCATCAGAAGTGTGTGCATAGGGGACCCAGCGCCCTGTGCGAGACTGTTCATGACTCTTTTTGTAATTGCTTGAAGACTAAAAGCAACTATCTATCGACATTATGTGATACAGTCATACAAAGGAATATTATAGCAACGGCACAGAATGAATTACAGCTACATACAACAATGGATGAATCTCATAAATATAATATTAAGCAAAAGAAGTCAGACACAGAAGATTTTAAAAAACAGGCAAAAATTAACTACGGGGGCGTGAGGATGCTTGTTTAGCAAGAAAGTAATTATCATGAACAGAAGTAGTTATTATCTTTGGTGGCCAGGAGGGACAGTAATTAGTTGGGGATACGAGAGGGACGTTTAGAACACTGACAGACATAACTCTTTGATGAAACATTGAGCTAGAGAAGAAAAAAAGAAGCAAAGGAATGAGTACAGTATCAGGCTAAGCCTTTTCACCAACAGCACTCAATGTTGGGAATCGGTGGAACATGCCTTTAAAGTTCTGAGAGAAGGTTGATTTTGAACTTAGAAGATAAACTGTCAATCAAGGGTGAGGGCAGAGTAGGATCATTTATCTTCCACACGCTTGTTCTGAGCAAACTCCTTGGGGATGTGCTCCCCCAGGAAGGACAACACAAGAACATGTAATACAAGAAACAGTCCAGGCCAGTGAAGAGAAATCCCAGGATAATAGCCATGTGGCAGGCTTCGAAGGAAGCTCCAAGAAAAATGTTTCTTGAAAAAGAGAATAGATTCCAAACAATAATAGATAATGTAAGAAGCTATTATAGGAAGTACTGGTGATAGGCTAAAAGTAGGTACATTTTTCTTCTCTTAATAAGGAAAAAACAGTTTATTAGAAACGTGTGTGAGAAAAGCTAGAAAAACTCATTGTCTAAAACTGCAGTCCCCAACCCCGGGGCCCCAGTGGGAAATGGGCCGCGAGTCACCACCTGAGCTCCACAGCACCCTCCACCCCCAGTGCACGGAAAAATCGTCTTCCGTGAAAACCATCCCTGGCACCAAAAAGGCTGGGGACCGCTGGTCTAAAATACAGAAGGGACGTGATGTTTGAGCAAGGGACGGAATATAAGAAAAGAGAATCCATTTGCTCTTGATGCTGGGAAGTCTCTCGAGCAAGTGGCAAGAGCCATGTGACCTTTGGAAAACGAGAGGGGATCCCAGCTCTGCAGTTAGTAATATTTACACACTCTCTGTATTGATTTTCAACTTTCAGACACATCCTAAAGAAGAAACACAGAGGCTTAATTATAAATATAAATGTGTTATCATATCAGGCTTGACCATTTAAGACAGAAGTTTGGAGGAAAAGGGAGGAGGGTAGAAG